TGTAATCTTGAGTTTTAAGTAATATGCATTAATAAACAGTACTTTACGCATAAAAAGTGGTTTTTAAGAGTTTTTGTCAAATGATTTATAATATAGATTATTATTTTTATATATAATTTAATTTAAGTTTAATAATAAAACAATTTATTTTTGGTTTAATATTATAAATTTTATAAAAAAAATAATTAATTATTCTGTTAAAACTCAATGATTATATTAATTATATTTTAGATTTTTTATATTTAAAATGAGATGTTTATCCTGTATTTGATTGTATTTATCTGCAGTTAGTTACATGAATTTAGATATGGGATGAAATCGGATAGGGCTGAAATAGGATAAGGATGAATGGGTTTAAGAGTTTTAAGAGTTTTAGCCAAATACTTTATAAGATAGTATAGATTAGTTATTTTGTTATTATTAGTTAACATATTTTTTAATTTTAAATAAGAAGTTCTTTAATTATGGTTGATTGATGCTGTTTTATTATTATAAAATGTGCATAATACTGACATATCTTATGACGTAAGCAATTTAATGTGGATAATTTTTTTAATTTTTTATTAAATTATTTAAAGGTAATTTGTTTCTTAGAGAAAAAAATAAATACATTTCATGGTGATAAGCTCTAAAGCTTGATCGGTTTTTAAATTAATACTATTTCTAATGTTCTATTTGGAGGAACTTAGAGGCTGTTTATCAAACACTTATTCAGATAAGTGACTACTAATTCACATTATCTCATCGGATGAACATGATAAAAACCAAGAATCTTATCCGGTAAGAGGGAGACAAGGACCAAGAGTATTACCCAATAAGTAATGACGACGATTCATAAAACATTTGACAAAAATTCTTAAAAAGTATTTGTTGTACATAAAGTACTGTTTATTAATGCATGTTACTTAAAACTCAAGAACAAGTAGATTGTGCGTAAGTACAACTTATTAAAACTTCATATCTGAATTCGTGTAACTAATTGTAGATAAACATAATCAAATACAGGATAAACATCTCATTTTAAATATATAAAATCTAAAATATAATTAGGATAATCATTGAGTTTTAACAGAATCTTTAATTATTATCTTTATAAGTATTATGTTATTAAATCAAAAATAAATTACTTTCTTATTAAACTTAAATTAAATTATAATAAAAAATTAAAGTAAAGAAATTATTTAAAAAATGAGAACTTCTAAATAGTTGATTTGATACTAATATTGATATATTTTTTATCAAGTTTTTTATGATATCTTTAAATTTACATTTTATTCAAAAATAAAATCATTATTACTTTCTTAAAAACACATAAAATTGTATTATAACATCGACAGAGACAAAAAATAAAATAGTACATTAAAATCGAGATGTATCTCGTTGTATTGCGCAAGTACCATTCTAGTATTAAATAAGAACAATAGGATGTTCACGAAAGGCAAATGTCAATACTGATACTTATTTTAGGGTCGTTTATCAAACACTTGTTCGGTAAGTGTTTACTGGTAAAATTTAACACTATTATTTACTTATCAGGTAAAATTTTAGTCCACCAAAACAAATCGTATGCAACAATTTACCCGATAAACACTTACCATGATAAGAGTCGTCTCTCTCACTTACCGGATAAGACTTTTGTCTCTTGATCATTGTCTTGCTCTTACCAGATAAAATTCTTTGTTCTTATCATACTCATCCAATGACATAACGTGACTTGTTAATAACTTACCCGAGTAAATATTTGGTAAACAAACTCTTAATATATAATATCTCATCAGGTCAGAGATATGACACTTATTCATTAAACTAAAAGTAAAGATAACTTTTATTCGATAAATGTTTGATTCTTAGAACAAACTTAGTTAATTTTAGTACGATTTACTTTTGCTACGTTAAACAAGTTCTCTTGAACAATATTTCCAATTCTACATATTTAAATATTTAAAACGTGACATTTTATCGAAAAGAAAAGAGTTATTTGGAACTAATTTTATTGCTACAATTGTTTTAAAATATGCCTCCGTTTTAACCTATAAACAAATAGGAAAAAAAAAAAGGACAAATGATACCAGTCCCCACCAAAAACAAGGACAGGCTACGAACCGGTGTGCTGAGGATGTACTCGAAACAGGGACAGGTTAGCAGCCGGTCTGCTCCACCCCTCCCTTCCTCTTGATGAACAGCATGTTTGATGATACATAACGATGGATTATACGATCGTCAGACAACATAATTTACGAAGATTTCTTTCATTGATTATAATACACTGATTAATTTAAACATCAGATGATCAATCATACACCAACAATAATGAAACCTAACAATTGAATCTCTACCAAATAAAGCAGAACAATTCAAACAGGAGAATTTCAGATGTTTTTTCCATCAGCACTCGATCAATCTCGTCTCCTCCATCTCCAAGAAGATAATTTGATTCATTAATTTCCATAAGAAATGATAAAAACCAGAGATCGAGCGTTGATCTCCTAGGCTTAACAAGTTTTTCGATCAGAAAAATCAAATTCGGCAACATAAGTGGAAGATTTTTATAGTTTTTAATTTAAATTCTAACAATTTTTGCCGCTTTCACCACCGGATTGTCCCTCGCGATCGCCTCACGGCCGGCGGTTTTGTAATCGTAGGTGCAGTCATGACGGTCGGAGTAGCGATGCTCCGCGCAGAACAGATCGCCACAACGGCACCGGAATCCGGTCAAACCAACCCTTTTCCGGCAACCAGAGCACCGACTTACAACCTTAGTCATGGTTTTCTCCTTCGGTTCTTCATCCACCATCACAACCGTCCGATCTACCACCAGATCAACCTCAACGTCGCGAGACGTTGACCTCGTCGGAGACCTCAAGGAGCCAGATCTACCACGAGCACGTTGCGTAGACGTGGTTGAACTGGAGGTTGTGGAGCCGTTAAAGCACTTTTGACACATATTGTTTGTCGCCGGATTTCCAACGACGCCGCAGTTGTTGATGCAAAGAGTCAAGGTTTCAGGTACAACCTTGAATTCCGTCTCTTCTTTCTCTGTCCTCTGAGCCATCTTCAAACAAAAACCTTCAAAAATATCTGTAAATCGACACAAATTCGAAGAACAAAAATACTGAATCACCGTGAAAAGATTAAGATAAATCGAGAAGCGATTAGCGTGGGAGAAATGGAAATTTTCCGACGAAAATTGATTGAAATTTGGGTTGGCGAGAGAAATGGATGGGAGGGGGGAGGTTTATTAAGGGAAGGGGGAAAGGGCTAATGGTTGTCGCAAGGGACGCGTTATCATCATGCAAATTGTGGAAATGTAATTACCATTCTACCCCTGAGACTTTTCACAAATTCCCAATTGTGGGGTTAGGAGTCGGATTACTACGTCTAACGTGTTTACTACTCGGTCAGCCACCGTTTTCGCCCATCACAGTTAACCTTTTTCCAGAAGACAAATTTGGGTTTCTATTCTTGATATTTGTCTTCAAAATATCATAAAAATATATAAGAAGAAGAGTGCATAGAAGTGTAAAAAAGAGATCTGAACTTTTGATCATCTTTAATCTTAAATTCATTCATATATATTACATCTCATTTTAATGTACATGTATAAATATAGATCATTTCTTATATTTCTTACTTAACTTTCTTTTTCATCAAAATCCAATCATTTACAAAGTACTGCTTATTTTTATATAAAATATGTTTGGTGGGCCCATTTAAACTTCATGGTAGATATGTGATCAAGATCATTAAAAATAATTAGGTCCGTCTAGGTTGTAAATACAAGTTCAAAAAAATAATATAAAATAAAATAAAAGGAAAGGTACAAGGGTTTGGGGTGGACAGAAAAAAAAAAAAGATAAATGCATTAAATTTAGTGTTATTAAATGTTTTTAGTCTATTTGATATCTAGCTTTTGGGTCTTCAAAAGATTAGGGGTTTAAATAATATGATGGATATCTGACTTTATATAAAGATGAAAATATCAATAAAATTCTTAATTTTTTTCAATAAGATTTTAATATTTACAAGACGAGTGGGTCTTTATTTAATAAACTTGAGAATTGGTTTATCATGTGTTATTTTAAATAATTTTTTTTATATATGGTACTAATTAATACGAATTTTTTTTCTTTATAATATTTGTGAAATAAAAAAATACAATTAAAATGTTTTATATTGTGAATCAAAGACATAAAAACAAATGCAATGTGAAAATAAAAATGAAATAATTTAACATAACTTTTTAACGTCAATTAAATTCAAATGTTTTTCAAAATACGATAATAATCTTGTAATAAGTGTTATTTCTGACAAACCATAGGAACTCAATTTCTTTTATTAACCTGGATATCCAACCCGTCATGCGAACCGATTAATCACATGACGACCACCTGTTTTGCAGATAGTCCAAAACACAAGACGATTTTTATTTCTACTTCGATTTAAACTTGGCACAACCTAATACTTTTGACCTTTGAAACCAAATTCAAATCAATAGGCACCACTCTTATAATTAGGAAATCAGTTTGTAGTTTACTCAATTTGTTATTTTACAATAAAAATGCGGTAATGAGAGAGGGTAAAACGGGAATTAGAGAAGAAAGAGGAGTCCAGCTAGCAATAGAAAAGAGAAAGCCGCCGTGTGTGACCGTGGCCAACCAAAAGCAGCTTTTCACATTTCCCATATAAACCCATCGGACCTTAACCTACACGTGTATATCCACGCGTCCCCCACACAACAATCACCCACATGTATCATTAAAACCAGGCGGCCCAAAGATAACGGCTGATTCCTCTTAATTATGTATAGGTTTTTATTTGCGTTTAACGTTATCTTTTATAATAATAGTTGATGAATAAGTTATTCGTAAACAAGCTAGTCGATAATTAATAAACCGATATTTAATTGTTAGTTGATAAATAAATTATTTTTAATAAAACTAATTAATAAAAATATAAAATATTTAAAAAAGACAGTTTAAAAAATTAACTAATTGTAATAATACAAAATATAATTAAAACAAATTTTTTTTAATAATATAATATATTAACTAATATAAG